TTCATAGTTTCAGCCTCAGCTCTGCCACAGGGGCATAGCCGCTCATTAATCGGGAGCCTATTAGAGATATTCTATTTTGTGGGTTCTGCTCTCCTCAGAAGAAAATACATTTTCTTGCTTGATCATCCTGTAGCTCTCCTCTCAGCTTCCCCTACGTTCCTTTTTCTCAGGGATCTTTTACACCAAGTTTAGGGGAATTCCATCAGAACTCTACTTTTCGTCACTAAATATCACTTTTCTTAGGCACACAAAATTCACATTAACAAGGAAAAAAATGAATCATTAAACCGTTATACAGTATTAAATACATGTCAAAACAAAACATCTTCCCATCATAGGTATCATCAATTCCATAGTGGATATTAATGCATCTCATCCAACATCCTTCTGCAAAATTACAGGATTGTTCACAGTACGTGTTGCCTCTTGAGTCTGTATTCTCCTGTGTCTGAGAAATGTAAACCGCAAAGACAATGCTGGGAGAGGCAAAAGAGAAATTGTCACACTGATGCCAGTAGTTCCCGTATTCTTTTTTTTTTTTTTTACTTCCCTCGCTGAATGGATAGTGAAATGAAAGAGTTTAAGGATAAGGCATGGAAAAAATAAATTTTAGAGATGCTCAAGACTGAAGTGAAAAAAGCAGCTGGTATTAGAGAAATTACAGTTATATAATTTAACAACAACAAAAAAAAAACCAGACTCCCTCACCAGTTGCAGCTTACAAGGTAGAACTATGCCTTGACAACACCAGTCATCTTCCTTAGCTCATGACACAGCCCTGTGCATGAATGATGGCAATACTATGTGTACTGGTAAAAAAGCCAATATATCCCAACATAACATTATGGTACAGGTAGTCCTCGATTTACAACCATTCATATATTGACTCTTAAGGCATTAAAAAAATGTGACTTATGACCATTGTTCACCCTTATGACCCTTGCAGCGTCCCCGTCAGAGGTGGTATTCAGCCAGTTCTGACAGGTTCTGGAGAACCGGTAGCGGAAATTAAATAGTTTGGAGAACTGGTAAATACCACCTCTGGTTGGCCTCGCCCCCATCTATTCGCTGCCTCCCAAGTCCCAGCTGATGGGCTGGGTCTTCATTTGTTGCCCTGCACAGGAGAACGGAGCTGGAAAGCAGGTTAGTGGGGTGGGAATGGAGATTTTGCAGTATCCTTCCCCGTCACACCCGCCAAGCCATACCCACCAAGCAACGCCCATAGAATCGGTAGTAAAAAAAAATGCATACCACTATTGATCCCCGTGGTCCTATGATCAAAATTCAGAAGCTTGGTAGCTGGTATGCATTTATGATGGCTTCTTTTTGTGACTGCCATATAATCCCACACTCTTCAAAGCACTGCTTTGGAACTCCATCTAAAATACTGTGTAGCTTGACATGTTAATTACTATAAAAGAGCATTTTCTTATCTGGTTGCAAAGTAGAATCTGTGGTGGTGGGAAATGTTGCTATTTTAAAGGCATGAAAATCTTTATCTGAACATCAGGATTCCTTTGGAAGTGAGAATGATCTCCCTGATTTGTGTGTGTGTGTGTGTGCGCGCGCGTGTGCCTGTATGAGAGAGAGAGGGAGAGAGAGAGAGAGAGAGAGAGAGTATGAATGAATGAATGCTTGGTATGATGAAAGACAAGAGAATGGGGCTGGATCCATAATCCATATCAACTTTATGTTCCTTTTTTATTTAGTATTTATGGCAGGTGGACATACAACAAAGCAATGGCAGAAATTGATAGATATCTGCCATTTGAATACTATATTTAAACTACTACAGTACTTTAAACATTATGTGGTCCTGGAACATCCTGTTTGCCAAGTTGCTGAGCCAGTGCAGAAGCTGGATATTTAGTGCAGTATTTGTCAACCTTTCCCCTTTTAAGAAGTGTTGATGACCACTCCCAGAAATCCCCAGCCAGAATTCCAGGATTCCACACATCTTAAAATGGCCAGGATTGAGAAACACTGGCCTAGCCTCTAGACAGGGGTGAGAAAAAAAATGCATACA